GTTTAGGGTTGAGGGATTAGGGTTTAGGGTTGAGGGTTGAGGGTTTAGGGTTGAGGGTTTAGAGTTGAGGGTTTAGGGTTTAGGGTTGAGGGTTTAGGGTTTAGGGTTGAGGGTTTAGGGTTTAGGGTTGTAGCCGCAACCACTGCAGAAGCGTATGAACCCAAGATCATAGGGTATACCAGTATACCCGTAGTTGGTAGGTAGTAGGAGCCACAGGTAGAGTTCAGGGGTTCAGGGTGGACGTCGACGGTTGAGGGCCTTCGAACGAACGATTTACCTCAAGCCCTAAACCCTAAGCCCTAAAATTCTAAATCCTACACCCTAAAGCCTCTAAATCGTACACCCCAATTTGCTGGATCCTACACACTAAAGCCGTAAACCTTAAACGCCTTAGGGTTTTGGGCCGGCTGCAGTGCTCCAGGATAGCTTGGAGGCGGCTTCTCCTTAGCCAGGTTCCCCAGTAGTTGGCCCTTTTTGCCCTTCTTCTTTTCACTGTAGGGACCCTAATAACTACCCATGTTATTTTGGGGCTTCCTCATTATAGTTATAGTATGTTCCCTTCTTGAAAACCAAACAGCAGGAACAAGGGTCCCCTTCTCAACCCTAAACCCTACAGTAGCAGTACCCTTCTGCCCTTGTTCGTTTAAGGTTCCCTTCTTGAACAAGGGTCCCCCTCAACCCTAAACCCTAAAGTAACAGCCTTTTTTTAAAATGGGTTCCCTTCTTGAAACCAAACAGTAACAAGAAGGGTAGCCTTATCATTCAGGGAGGGCCTACCTGGGAACCTAGTTAATGACCTTACGGTACCTTGGCAATCGGATTCGGCAAAATCGGAAGGCCTAAACCCGGCCTGGTGCCGTCTACGGCCTGCGGAGATGTTCGGTCTTGTCCGCCTGCCCGCTTGGGAATTCTGTAAATCCTTGGGAGAACCCCAGAGCCTTTGATTTAAGACTAATATAGGGGCCCTAATAATTAGAATAGGGCTTTGGGGTTCCTCTAAAGGGATTCTGAAAAGGCTCTATAATAGGGTTCTATGTTAGGGGCCTAATAATTAGAGTAGGGCTTGGGGGTATATTATACTTTAGCTATAACAAGGAGCCCCTAACATCTTATTCTAATTATTATGGCCCCTACATTATGCCTTACATGAACATATGGTTTAAGGTATGTGCCTTAAGCTTAAGGCTTTTGGGTCTCTGACAGTCCCCCTAAACCCTAAACCCTAACGTAGCTGGGTAGGATCCTTGTCTGGTGCGGGGATTTTAAGATGCCCTACAGAACTGGCAGATTACATGTCAGGGAAGCCCAGAAAGTTGGAACATGGCTTTATGATCATTGGTGCTGGAACCCCTTATACTTTACCTTCAGGGCATGAGGATCATAAAGCTCCAACTTTACGGCATCTTCCTATACGCACTGAGCAACTAAGCGCTGCTCCAGGAAGTATTTCATCTCCGGAGTGATGCTCGCGAGCAAGAAGAAGCTCAAGGCCACGTGATGGGCTGAGGGTTTCGGGAAGGTTTAGGGTTCAGGGTTTAGGGTTTAGGGTTTAGGGTTAAGGGTTTCTGTTCTCTAGTACTACCGGAGTCTGACAAAATTGGTAGTATTTTTGACAGTCACTCCAACACCCTATTCTAGTTTGTCAGGCTCCTATACTACCCGCATTTGCGGAGAGGTACCTCTCTCGCTACCGGCTCCGAGGGTTCGCCTAAACCTGCCCGTGGCTTCAACCACCTACTCTTTCAGGGCTTAGGGTTTAGGGCTTAGGGTTTAGGGTTTAGGGTAGATGATCAAGGGTTCATCACCTACCTTGCTTGCAAGCATTCTTGCCAAGCCTCGAAACCAATCCCAAGCCCTAAGCCCTAAACTCTACCCTAAACACTAAGCCCCAAAGCCCAACCCTAAACCCTAAAACCCCAAGCCCCCTTAAACCCTAAACCCCAATGCCCTACTTGCTAAGCCCTAAACCCCAAAGCCCAACCCTAAAACCGAAGCCCCAGAGCCCTACTTGCTAAGCCCTGAACCCCAAAAGCCCTGCCTTAAACCCGAAGCCCCAAAGCCCAAAGCCCTACCCTAAACCCTAAACCCTAAACCCTAAAACCCTAAACCCTAAACCCTAAACCCTAAACCCTAAACCCCCCTAAACCCTAAACCCTAAACCCCAAAGCCCTGCCCTAAACCCGAGAAACCCGAAGCCCCAAAGCCCCACTTGCTAACTCCCCTGCAGTAGAGGATACCCCTGAACCCTAAACCCCCAAGCCCCGCTGAAGTAGAGGAAGATGAGGGCCTGGTCCCACAGAACTACCGCCAGCAGATCGCCGATGCCTTGAGAAAGGCGCCTCCGGGCTTTGTAGATTTTGGGTTTTGGGGTGTCGGGTTTAGGGTTTTAGGAGTTTGAGGTGTTGCGGTTTCGGGTTTAGGCAGTTGGGGGTTTAGGAGTTTTTGAGGTGTTGAGTTTTCGGGTGAAGGGTTTCGGGTGATGAAGACATCCCAAATAACCGAGAGAAAGGGCATGCTTGGCTTTTTGAGGCCCGTGTAATTCCCCCCCAGCATCGTTGAAGCCGCTGGCATCGTCCTTTTGAGGACTGAGCTAAGGGTTTTTAAAGTTTTAAGGGTTTTGAGTATAGGGTTTAGGCGTTTAGGGTTTAGGGTTTCCTTGATTTAAGCTCTTAAGCTCTGTGCAGCATTTCGAGATGCAAAGACAGAACACGAAGTAGATTGTACCCCTCTTCCGAGGAAGTCAAGACAAGAACCAGAGTAACTAGAAGCTATCCTAACTGGGTTCTGGAGCACCATACTTGAACACTTTGTTTGGACCTGCTCCTTACAGGAACCATTATGAAATAAAACTCTGTGCCTTGTTCTTACTTCAAAGTTTAGCTAAACAATGAGGCCACTTTACTAGGGCTTCAGCCATCAGACCATCCAGGCTGATGTTGAAAAACAGTGGTCTTCCGTACGGTGCCAAAAAGGATTTCTGGCAGTATTCCTAAGTGCTCCTCGCTGCAATCATAAAATTTGTACCATAGAATCTCTTATGCTATCATATGTAGAAACAGATCCCCAAAACCTTATAACCTTACGCCTAAGGCTAAGCCCAAAACCCTGTTATCATGCTTCAGGCCCCTAAACCCTAAACCCTAAACCCTAAACCCTAAACCCTAAACCCTAATACATTAGAGTCTTACGCTTCAACAGCAGGGAGATCTCGGCTCGGAAACCCGATAGCTTGAGACAGCTTATCCTCTAATCTTGTTGCACTAAACCCTAAAGGTTAGGGTTTAGGGGTTTAGGGGTTTAGGGCTTAAGGCCTAAGCCCCAAACCCCTGAACCCTAGACCCTGGAGCCTAATCCAAGAAAACCCTCTAAAACCTGGAGCCTAATCCAAGAACTCCTGCGGGTTTTGATCTTCTTGCTGGGGGCCCGGCGCCAGCTTATGTTCAGCGTTGGACCCGGTTCCACTTTGACGCAAGGGCTCTTAACCCCCAGACCCTGAGGGTTTAGGATTTAGGGTTTAGGGTTTAGGGTTTAGGGTTTAGGGTTTAGGGTTTAAGGTTTAGGGGGTTTCCACAAACATTCCGAAGCACACCAGAAAAGGTCTGGAAAACCCGAAAGACTCCAACATGTCAAATGCCTGAAGCCCCCACACTCACTGCATATCTCAACAGAAGCACAAGAATCTCCATATGCCGGTCTCGAGCTCTAAGGCCATAGACTCTATAAGCCCTACATGCTAAAGCCCTAAACGCCCTAAACCGTATGCTTAAAACTCGAAACCTTAAGCCTTGCATCCCTAACCCTTAAGCCTTAAAGCCAACTTGAAGCCCTAAAACTTACGCCCTAAACCCCCCAAACAACCAAACCCCTAAACCCTAAACCCTGCAAGCCCTAAACCCCTAAACCAAAAATCCTAAACCCTAAACCCTAAACCCTAACTAAACCCTAAACCTTAAGCCCTAACACCGCAAACCATCAGCTCAAAGCCACAAAGGAAACTCTACTTGGAGGTTCATGCTCAGTTATAAGTAGGGATATGAGCAGGGTAACTATAGTTATCACGCAAGTACGGGACTTATCACCCCACTTCTAACTCCCATGAACCTCCAAGCAGCGTTCTTTAAAGGGCTGGTATAGGATGTTTATGGGGCTGTTCTAGGGGGTTTATAGGGTTCTATAACGGGTGCTATGATACCCTAAACCCCAAACCCTAAACCCTAAACCCTAAACCCTAAACCCTAAACCCTACACCTTAACTACCCATGATCCTCCAAGTACCAGGCCGATCCAGCGGCGGTCGTCGTGGATCCCCTGGAGGCTCAGCCAGACTGGGTGCACTTCACCCATTTTCGGGATAATGTTGGGGTGTACTGTAGCTAAACCCTAAACTCTAAACCGTAGGGTTTAGGGTTTTAGGGTTTTAGGGTTTTTTAGGGTTTAGGTTTAGGGTTAGGGTTTTGGATTCAGGGGTTTGGGTTTAGGGGTGCGCTTTAGTCTTTTTTGGGACTGTAAGCGTACTATATTAAGGTTTAGGGTTTGGGGTATTGGGACAATATTGTTCCCGCGAGAACTGAAAGTTTACAATTGTTCTAGACAGAAATTCCACTGCAAGGGTGTCGTTCCAAAGTTTCTGTACTGTAGAGCTTCCATCGGTGTTCCTTTGTAAGGATTGGGTTCTATTTCTAGAACGTGTTCCATAAGGCCGCGCGGTTTCAGGTTTAGGGTTTAGGGGTTTAGGCTTTAGGGTCTCGGTGCAAGTGTTCTTTAAGGCTCATGAGACTTTAGAGTAGATTTCATACTGAACATCCTACTGCTTAGGTCTATATTAGGTTCCCTTACTTGGGTTTTGCGGGGGGTTGGCGTTAAGGTTTGTGCTGCATAACCCCTAAACCCCAAATTCTGTTAAACCCCAAATCCTGTTAAACCCCATATGCATCCCTTAAACCCGAAAGCATTTCAAAATTTGTTCTACACTATAATGTACTATACCGTGATTACTGGGACCCTAATTTAGCGAACTACCCATGAACCTCCAAGTGCACCTAAAACCCCTAAACCCTGAACCCCTAAACCTAAAGCCCTAAACC